TGTCTCTGTCTCTGTCTCTGTCTCTGTCTCTGTCTCTGTCTCTGTCTGTCTGTTTGCCTGCCTGTCTGCAATGTAAGGGTGCATGGTACAAGTACGTAAAGGTCAATCGAACGTATAGTAAAGGATAGTAAAAGTAGCGTAAAGTCAAGTGGATTGCAATGTAATGCAATGTATTTATGTTGTGTTGTGCAATGTTGTGTTGTCTAATGTATGCAATGTAGTGTGATGCAATGTGGTATGATGTTTCTTAAATGCAATGGTGATGTAATGTAAAGTGATGCAATGTAACGTTGCTGTACTGTAGCGTAGTAGACTGTATTGTGCTGTACCTTGCTGTGCTGTCTTGTTGTGTTTTGCCATGTTACGCATGTATTGATGTATGCATGTATGGACGTATGCGTGTATGCATGCATGCGTGCGTTTCCCTTTGCGTCGACGTGAGCTCTCTGGAGGCCTAGAGTTGGCCGCCGTCAGGGACGAGCAAGTGTAGTGGAGCTGGAACCAGGCACTTAGTTGGCTAGTTCGAGCAATTTAGGAATCCGGTGGCTTTCTTGACGGATTTGTTGAGCCCTTTGTCCCTTCGTGTCTCGCTACTTACTTCTTTTAGGCGCCAGATTTGTTTGTGTTTGTGACAGGTACTTGGCCGGCTGATTCGATCACACACCCCTCCGAGGTGGCGAAGCCACCAGAGGATGGCTTCGCCGGATGTTTTGCGTTATAGGTTTATTCCCAAAGAGTTTACCGTTGAGGTTCTTAGGAAAAAGAAGCTGGCATTGTCCTTGTTCTGGTGTGGAGGTTGGCCGCGTCCCTGAACTCTGTGTCTCCGTCCTGCTGTTCTCTGGCCGCGCTGGCCAACCTTGTGTCCTCCTCTTGTCCCTCTCTTGTCCTGTTGTCCTCTTTTTGCGCTTTGTCTTTTCTTCCTCTTGTCCTCTTGTTGTCCCCCGATTGTCCTCTTCTTGTCCTCCTGTTACCCCCTTGTTGCCCTTCTGCTCCCTAAGTGCAATCAAAGGGCCCAACGCGAGAAAACAATTATAGTGACAGACAACCCCTTTCACCAAAAAAGAGTCACATAGAACATGCCGAGGACCCAACACATAGAACAAAAAAGATGCGTTCTAAGCCTTGCTCTTAGAACAATTGACATCCTGCACTTAGAACATATACAGTACAAGCCCCTAGTAGCATCCTTGCTCCTAGCAGCGATGCCCTTTGTTACTAGTAGCGAACCTTGTTCCTAGTTGTAAGGCCAGGAGCCCCTAGTAGCATCCTTGCTCCTATATAATGGCGATGCCCTTTGTTACCAGCTTCTTGTTTCTAGTAGTAAGGCCAGGAGCCCCTAGTAGCGTCCTTGCTCGTAGCGAACCTTGTTCCTAGTAGTAAGGCCGGGAGCCCCTAGTAGCATCCTTGCTCCTCGTAGCGACCCTACAGCGTTTCAACCCAATCGCGTCAAATGTTTACCCAACCTTGAATAGTGACGGACAAGCACTTAGAAAAAAATCAGATAAATTTGGAAAAACGAGCTCTGTTTGTTCTAAGTGATGGGTTTATCATGTTCTAAGTGTCAGGTTTTGCATGTTCTAAGCCTAAGGTTTTGCAGCTTCATTTTCTTGTATATTTTCCACCGATTTGTTCTAAGTGATTGTCCGTCACTATAACGCGCAAACCTTGTGTGGCACCTAGCGGGAAAGCGCCAGCCGGCCAGCGCGAAGACCACAGTATCGCAGCATGGCCATGCAGCAGCCTGTCGGCGTGACATGACACCGTGCGAGTGTGCGCTACAAAGCAGCAAGGCGCTAGCACGACAGAAGCCGATGTAGGCTGGCGCCGGCAAGCCCTGTCCGGATGATGTCCTTGTCTTCTCCTCTTGTCGCGACCATGTTCTTCTATTGCCTTTTTGTTGTCCTTCTTCAGGTGCTCAGTGGCCGCGGCTGCCAGCATATCTCCGGTCGTGCTCCTCCTGTCGTCATCATGTCTTTCTCTTGTCCTCTCTTCCTCTTCTTCGCCTCTTGGCGTGCTCCCCTCATGTTGCCTTGTTCTGTTGGCGTTGTCCTTCTTTTGTCCCCTTGGTGTGTTCATGTTGTTTTCCTTCCCTTATCTGTTGTCCTCTGTTGTCCTCCTCACGTCCTCCTCTGGTCTTCGTGTTGTCCTGCTGCTAGTGTGCCGTTGCGCTGTTCACGGGCTGCGGCCGCCCACCACAACAAACATTTTGGCGACTAAGCTGTTTTGGGGTCTATGCTGGCACAATAGTTTCTTACGAAAAAACTGTTGTCTCCTTTGGTGTTTGTGTTGTCCTGCTGCTTGTGCGCCGTTGCGCTGTTTACGGGCTGCGGCCGCCCACCACAACAAAATGTTGGCGACTAAGCTGTTTTGGGGTCTATGCTGGCGCAATAGTTTCTTACGAAAAAACTGTTGTCCTCTTCCTGATGTCCTCTGTTTTGCGCTCCTGCCATTCCCAATGCAGACGTTACCACCAATATTGGTATTTAAGGAGCTGGTGCCAAAACAGCTATGAACTGTTTGGGGCCTATGCTGGCATTATTTTTTTCCAAGAGAGAACTCCAACAGAAACTGTTTGGGAGACAGTGAATATATTTATATACATACAGACCAGAGCAGACCAGACAGACCAGACCAGACAGACAGACAGGCAGGCAGGCAGACAGACATACATACATAGGTTAATCGCAGGTTTAAGGTTCAGGTTTTGCCACAGGTGAAGGAGTGCCGTTTGCCAGCAAGTTGCCGCTTAAAACTGACTGCCGTGCGCCGCGCGACAAAACGACCCAAAACAATGCATTAAAGTGTCAGTGTGTATCGCATCGTTTGAGGG